TGAGGTTATGTGGGGGAAAGGAAGGTATGGTGGGAACAGAGTGAAGGGTGTTACAAAAGAAGGAAGGATCGATGTTTGAAAGCTATCCCGCCTTCAGTTCACTCTGTTTCCTGCCATACCTTCCATTCCGATTCTGCTGAAGTTATTGTTTATTTGTTTATTTGTGTTTTTATTTTAAATGTGTTTTAAATTGCCATTGTTTAATACTATTTTAAGGTGTGGGTAGGATTGTGGGATATGAAATGTATATTTTTAATGTTGTAAGCTGCCCTGGTTGCGTTATGCACAGGGGTGGGATAATAATAACTATTATTATTATTATTATTATTATTATTATTATTATTATTATTATTATTATTATCAGCAAGCCTATAGGAAATCCCAAGGTTTGCAGGAGCAGAAAAGAAACTTTCTAAAAATCACCCCATTGAGGTCTACATATCTTCAAAGAGCATTGACCTATTGGGGAGGGCAGGGGTAGAGGAACAGCAAGCTCAGAGGAAACTGAACTGTATGAGTATTCTAAAAGAAGGAATGACTGGCTGGTTGGAATTCCAAACAAAAACAGTGGACATTGGAGAAAGCAACATTTCTACACTTTATATTTTAACCCAGATAGAATATTGAAAGTGAAATCATGTTTTCCTTTAGTGATTCAAGATTTCTATGAAAATATATTCCAACACAAAACAGTAACCAAAGCAATTAGAAGTTTACTATGTTCCTTTTAAGTATCTGTATGTTTTTAGAAAGATTTTTTATTTGCATTTGTATGATTTAAATAGTTTGCAGGATTAATAATAACCTTTGCTTTTGACATTTCCTCAAAGTTAACGCCTTGTTATGAATAGGTATACTTTCAACATTAAACCAATGGACCACTTGTTGTCAGGAAACACCCTCTCTGTTTGTTGTTACAACTCACTTACATTTAGTAATTCTCCCCTTCAAATGTACCATAAATTATAGCATTTTTAAATGTATGATTCACATTTTTAATTCTTTTTCTCATTTTGTTTGAATATACTTAGGTTTATGGCAGGTTTTTCTGTTAACTATTTCCAAGATGCATTTATATAAAGTAACCATATGGATAATTTAAAAAATAAAACATTCAGCCAGATTTTGACATAATATGGAAGTAAAAAAGACCTATGAGATACTATAATGTGCCCAAACTTTCACAAAGTTTGGTCTGCCATAATGGATTTATTTAAAATAAACAATTACCGGTAGTAAGGACAGGGAGAACAAATTGCTAGCACACAATAGAGAGCCAGATGATTGATTAGTTAGGGCCTCATCAGACAGTTAATTGAGCCGTCTCCGAGGCCAGGAAGAGGAGGAGCAGCCGCACTCGCGGCGCTCCTTCCTCTCCCTGAGGTCGTCCTCGGAGCCGCCGGCCCTCCGCATGGCCGGCGCTCCGGGGGCAACCTCCCGCCGCAGCGACCAGACGCGCTGTGGCAGAAAAGACAGGGGAAATGCACCCGACGCTTTTAGGGCGCACTTTCCCTGTCTTGAGGAAGGAGCGCTGATTTAGCTCTCCTTCCAGGGACGCCGCCGGTGCGCCGTGTTGCAGAGGCTGCGGCCCCGCAGCGCACCGGCCCAGGGCATCCTGGACGCCCTCGTCTGCTTCCCCCCTATGTTAGTTAGTTAGGGCTGATGCAGATGGCCCCTAAGGGGTGGCTCTGTGCTGCCCCTGGGAGTACCAGATCGGGACTGCAGCAAGCAGATGCCATGACCCTGATCCTCCTAGCTTGAACTTGAACTCCTAGCACAACAAAGCAAATATGATATAATAGGCATCACTGAAACCTGGTGGGATGAATCTCATGATTGGAATGTAGGAATAGAAGAGAAATAGGCCAAACAGGAAAGGAGGAGGAATAGTATTATATGTCAGGGATATTTACACCAGTGAAGAGATCCAGGACTTAAATCCTGGAAATCAAGTGGAGAACATCTAGATAAAAATTAAAGGGAAAAGAAACAACATGGATGTTATAGTAGGAGTCTATTACAGACCCCCAAGTCAGACTGAGGAACTGGATGATGCCTTTCTAGAACAGATGACCACACACTCAGAAAGGAGAGATGTAGTAGTGATCTCTCCTACTAAATGTCAGGACTTTAACTATCCTGACATTTGCTGGAGGTCAAACTCAGCAAATACTTCAAGATCTAGCAAATTCCTCACTTGCCTCGAAGACAATTTCATTGTCCAAAAGGTGGAAGAGGCAAC